CTGCTGGGTCTGGGCCTTGAACCGTGGGCGACTACATGGGAGTCCAGCAACATAGCCATTACGTCAACTGCTGGTCTCTGCTTTTCTCTTTTTAAATAGGTATCATAAAATTACCCATCAGTGCCATTTTCTCAGCAGTGTATAACACATGCATGCATTGCATGTGCATGCACACACACACACATTTCAATGAATTGTGACTTTCATTGAGCTTTTAATAGATCTTTCATTATTAGAGAGGTAAAAATAATTTATTTTAAAAAATTTTAAAAAGAATTATTTAACTTTATTTATTTACTTATGTATTTTAACTTGACCAGAGAGGGACAGAGAGAGAGAGAGGGAGAAAGTGAGAAAGCAGGCCACGCCAGGTCCAGGACTCAAACTGTGGTCAGCCATGTGTGAGTCTAGCGCCCTTAACCATCATGCCACCTGCTGGCCCCTAAAATTTATTTAAAAATTTTTTTAGAGAGATTTTAGCTATGGGGTGCATGTGCTTTCTGGAGAGATAGAGACAGACAGCGAGAAATCACCTCCCCAATAACCCCCTCCCCTTGGGGGACGGCCACAATGCAATCCCTTTTCCTCCTGTCTTCTCTTTGGATTTTGGGCATGCACGCACATGAGTTTTAAGCCACCGAGTCCAGGACTTGAACCATGGTTGACTACATGGGAGTCCAGCAATGTAGCCATTTCGCCATCTGATGGTCTCCAAAAAAGCCTAAGCAGACCTATGGAGGTTGACATCCTGTTAGTCAAAGTACCCTCTGCTTGTTTTCCTGTAATACTGGCCAGCTCTCTCCTGATCTCCATCACCTCTTGGGATCTTGAGCATGCACGCACACGCGCCCAGTGTGAGTTTCAAGCCACTGGGTCCGGGACGCAAACCGTGGTCAACTATGTGGGAGTCCAGCGACATAGTCATTACAACTGCTGGTACCTTTTTTTGAACATTTTTAATGCTTATATTTATTTGTGAATTGCCTTTTCCTCTATTTGCGTTATTTTTTTTTAATTGTTGGAGGGCACACACACTCACCAGTGAGACCCCTGCCACAACTGTTTTTCCTCTATCTCTCCATCCTTTTGGTATTTTGGGCACACACGGCATGCATGCATGCCCAGTTTTTCTGCTGGTACCTTTTTTTGAACATTTTTAATGCTTATATTTATTTGTGAATTGCCTTTTCCTCTATTTGCGTTATTTTTTTTTAATTGTTGGAGGGCACACACACTCACCAGTGAGACCCCTGCCACAACTGTTTTTCCTCTATCTCTCCATCCTTTTGGTATTTTGGGCACACACGGCATGCATGCATGCCCAGTTTTTCAAGCTGCCAAGGCTGGGATTCAAACCATGGTTAGCCACGTGAGATCCAGCTTTCTAAGCACAGAGCTTAACCATTGTGTTAAAGGGCCAACACCCCTATTTGCATATTTTTCTAACAAGAAGTTTCTCTCTTAGAGATTTGTACACTAAAAATAAAAATATGGGCTCATGTTGTAGCCTAATGGCTAAGGGAGCTAGATCCCAAATGGCTGACTTTGAATCCCAGTCCTGGTGGCTTAAAAAACACTCTGGGTGCAGACACATGCACGTGTGTCTCAAATCCTGATAGATGGAAACATGAAGGGATTGTGGCATGACCATGCCCCATTTGTGTGTGGCGGTACCGTCTCCTTCTTTCTGGTGAGTGCATGTGCCCTCTAGCAATGAAAAATATCTATGTACATATCTATTGGGCTGGCCTCATAACACAGTGGTTAAGGGAGCTGTATCCCACATGGCCAACTTGGTTTGAATTATGGCCTGGCTGCTTGAAAAGCATGCTGGTGGGACCAGCAGGTGGCATGGTGGTTAAAGGCACTGGACTCCCACATGGTCAACCACGGTTTGAGTCCTGGAACTGGTGGCTTGCTTCCTCACTACCCCCTCCCTTGGTCCCTCTGGTAAAATTAAAATAAAGTTAAATAATTCTTAAAAAAGAAAAAAACACACACAAAGCATGCTGGTGTTGAGTACATGCCCAGAATCCTGAAGGGATGGAGAAATAAGAGAAAAAATGATTGTGTGACCACACCCCATTAGAGGTTGTTTTTTTTTTTTTTTACTGGTGAACCTCATGCATTCTCTGGCAATTAAAAAAAAATTAACCCCTTGTCTGTCAAGAGATTTTTTTCCTAGATTGCTACTTTTAATTCTGTTCCTGCTCTCTCTAGCACTTTAATAGTCAAGTATCAGTCTTTTCCAATATGTCTTCTAAAAATACTTTTTTTCGGGGGAGGTATTTTTGGTATAGGGCACATGTGCTTGTTAGAGAGACAGACAGAAAGTGAGAAATCACCCCATAGGGGATGGCTGCGCTACAATCCCTTCTCCCCTAGTCTCCTCTTGGGATTTTGGGCATGCACACATGTGCCCAGCAAGTTTCAAGTCGTTGAGTCCGGGATTTGATCTGTTGTTGACTATGTGGGTGTCCAGTGCCTTAACCATTAGGCCACCTGCTGGTCTTGTCTTCTGGCATTTTTAGCCATACTAAGATTTTCCATATCCCAAATCAGTTATTTACCTATATTTTCATTTTATGCTTAAAAAAAGTTTTCACTCTTGAATCTTCTGACTGGAAGTTCTTTTAGTGTGAAGGACAGAGCAAACTTTGTATTTTCCACCTTCCAATACTTTAGCAAACTTTCCATCCTTAACAATGAGAAAAATCACGGCTGTCCCGACTGGTTTTTGGCACTTCATTTTGTTTCCAGACTGTAGCACAAGGAGTATTTAATGGCTAAAAGGCCATTCTTTTTTTGTATTTAAGATTCTTCCATTTTTAAATTTTATACATTTAATCGCAATATATTACTTAGCTTGTAAAATGAGGTGAGGTTTGCCCATTTCAACTCTCACCTTGTCAGCTTGTACCCACCCAAATCAAAGGCTAGCTAAACCTGTATTTACATACAAATGAAGTTTGCCTTTTTGTGCTTCTCATAGTTTTGTGACTTTCTCCTTCACAGGAATCCCAGTTCTTGAGGCTATTCTTTTTTTTTTTCTGTTGATGTAGAGAATCTAGTTGCTATCGTCTTTGAACTGGTTATTGGTCATATTTGAGAAAATTTTTAATTCTGACACCTCTGCCTCTCAAATCCCTTTGTACACCATTGCCCCCTGACCTTTGTTTTTTTCTAATCTGCTAGAGGATGCCTGCTTTTGCCAGACAAGAGGGAGAAAAGAGTGCCCTTTATGGAGCAATCCCTCCTCTCAGCTCTCCATTTTGAGATTTCAGGCACACTCGTACATGCACCCTGTATCTCTCTCAAACTGCCAGATCTGGAACTTGGACCATGTTGGTTAGCCATGTGGGCTCTGGCTGCCTTAACCATCATGCCATAGAACCAGCCTGCCCTGCCCGCCCCCCTGCGTTTTTAAAAGTATACTTCCTTCACTTCAGTGAACTTCCTGAGAGCACAACTTCTCAGTGTTGTCAGCATGTAATTAAGTACTCAGTAATCATTAGCTGGGAAGAGATATTCTCCTCCACAGCATTAGGATTCCACTGATACTGATGATGGCTAGGTCAAGAATTTCTACAGTGAGCACCAAGACACCTTTTTACATCTGTTCCAGAATTGACTAGGAAGCTCATTAACAGGGATGGGCAGTTCACTAGTCTTCTCAGTCCTCAGAGCAGACCAGTCTCAGAAGTATGAATATGGAAAGGAAAGTGGCAGTGGCTAGCAGCCCTTTGCATCAGGATCAGGGAGTCTGGTTACGGCCACAGCCCTGCTTTCCCAGACCCATTTTGGACATGGTCAACGGGACAATCTTTAAAGGCAGTGCCTTGAGAATTCAGAAAAACCACACAAAACAAGCACCACGTGGGGCTATTTTTCTAACTAAATTTTTTATTAAATTATTGTTTCTTTGAAAGCTAGGACCATCAAAGTCCTTAGATCAGCTAAGTGCTTCATGGTGTAAAGACCAAGAAACTATTACGTGGTCAGTTAACAGACTTGCAGATAGGCAAGGAAATGACAGGAAGGAAAGATAAAACAAAGTGAACCAACCAAAAGAATGTGGTCTTCTGGAGAGTCAGTCAAATTACTTGCTTATTATTAAAATTTATTAGAAATGAACCAAACATTAATTAATGAAATAAAAAAATTTGAACTGAGCTTCAGACTTGGGACTAGTATAAAGTCTCACAAAATGGAGCCCTTGGTTGCACCAAACAAGCTCTGAAGTTTTAAACTCCCTGCTGCAGCTGCAGCTCCTTGAGCAAGTCTAGTTCCTGGTGGGAGGTGGGCAGGTGGGTAGGGCAGAGATGATTTTCTGGAGTCTATTTGGATGTTTTCCAGGTGTCCAGCATTGGTTAAGTTTTTTTTTTTTTTTTTTTTTTTAAAGTTTGAATAAAACTCCATCGTAAAAAGTGAGTTATGAAGAGTGCTCTTTATTTGAAACCTCCACAACACAGACGCCAATCTTGTCTCGCATTGAATCATTAGCTGTGCACATCAACACATTCCAAGCACAAATTAAGAAATGCAAACAGAACAAAAAAATATATATATATATAATTTTTTCCCCTATCCAAAGGTTTCAAGTCTCAATGCAGCAAATCCTTCTGAACACAGAATCTGAGGAGCACACTGTTCAAACAGTTGGGACAAACAGGTCCCTGCAAAGGCTACTGCCTTTTAAACACATGGGGTGGGTATCATGGACGGCATGGAAAAGGGAGAGGAAGTGAAGAGACGGGAGCTGGGCAGAGAATGAGCAGAAGGGTAACAGGTATGCGCTGGGGAGATGGGGAAGCTGGGACACACACATGGTGAGTTGGTGGATTTCATTTATTGGTTTTTGACAATTTCTTTCTGGTTCTTTTTAAATTTCCCCCCACCCTAGGTCCAACGATAGAAAAACCCCACAGTAGTGGGCAGGGCCTTATTAGGCCAGCCCAAAGCCTTCAGAGCATTCCTGGATGGCCAATAGTAGCATGTGGCGGAGCTTCTCAAAGCTCTCATAGGCAGGCAGGGCCCGCCGATTAAAAACAAGGGAAAAACAAAAAAGAGCC